GCAGTCTCCAAAGGGAGGGTGCACAGCACCACCGATTTAGCAAAGAACCCATATTTGCTGGGTTATCCCCTGGATCTCGTCTCACTGCATAAAGCTGGACATTTTATTAACTGTGACTACCTAGCGCCCTTCCCAAGACATACAGGGCCTCACTCATGCCAGTGTAAGTCCAGAGGAACTCCAGTGAAGACAATGGCGTTATACCAGCCCAGAGGAACAGGAGCCAAAGGAGACTATGGCCCGTAGATAAATTATGCCTCTTATCTAGTCCAGCAGTTTTCCAACTTTCCCATACGGAGACCACCTGTCCCGTCCCATTTAGCCAGAGAATGCGTCCGGACTCTCTCCTAATACTGCTCATTAACGTTCATTAGTTTCTGGTCAATTTCATCTGCCTCTGTGCTATCCAATTTCTCAGTCTTATTGTGAGGTCCCTCAAGCTGGCCCCCAACACATACACGTGTACACACAGCAATTAACCAGAATTCCAGGTATACTTGCTCAGACATGCCTCCAGTGCTGCTTGCTTTAACCAGAATTCCAGGTATACTTGCTCGGACATGCCTCCAGTGCCGCTTGCTACTAGGGATGTAAAATCCTGTTTTATTGGTTAGCTAGTTATATGTTACTTTTAACCAGTTAACCACGGGATCCCATGGGTGGGGGGAGGCCAAGGAGGCATCCCTACTTGCTACCCTGGGTTCTTCTATCTATCGCAAATCTGCCACTGCTCCCCCATGTAAATGTAGATAGTGGTCTGACTCCAGATTTGCTTTTGGAGTGAACAACACCGCCACATAAGGCTACACAGATACAGTCATCACTGACATTTCATATTCCTTGCAGGGTTTTATTAGCCTTCCAAGGATCCAGGAGTTTTTACTAGGAAAATGTACTATTTTAATGGGCTGGAAGTAGAAACACGGCCAGGAAGTCAAGGTCAACCTGTCTGATCAGAGATTGACACGATGCCAAATCTCTGGTGTGGCTGGCATGTGTAAGCTCAGAATCCAAGGGTGGGATTTAAAAAGAAAAAGGCTTCACCCCCAAAAAACCTCCCCTAATTCTGCTTGGATTTCACAGGTCTGATTTTCCCCTCTCTGAATACCAGCTAACACTACGGAGTCTTCCTGATTTACACCTGTGCATGGGAGGGAAGAATCCCAGCCCATGGGCCTGATTCGCATTTACCCCGAGGACCCTTTACTCTAATCTGATGTGTAAGTAACAACCGGCACCCACTTTGAGGCCTCTGCACTGCCAGAGCAGCATAAAGCGGCCTTAGTGTAAAGAAGACATGGGTCCGAGAGCTCCATTTCTATTGCATATTAGTAACTGGTAGTAGCAGCATGGGACATGCGACAGACGGTTTTACTGCAGCTAGGGAGGAATAAAAACCAAGCCAACATCTCTCCCAGCCTGGTCAGATATTGATTGGATAAATACTGCAATCCGATCCCAAGGGAACCACGCTTTTAATCTCCGTTATGTAGGCTTACTTGCCTCTATGGTTTTCAACATTAAAGCAAAGAACCTCAGACCTGACAAGGCCGGGGAGGGGGGAGATGGATCACAGACGGAGATATCAGAGGAAAGCTGTATTCACTATGAGCCAGCAAATCCTCAGGAAGACACACAGCACTGGAGATCGGATCTGGATTTCTCATTTCAAATTCCAGCAAGAATAATCACCGCAGCTCCTGAAGTGGGATCACAGACTCTGCACCCTACCCCAGGAAGCTCTCTGCTGTATACCCAAAAAACCCGAGTAAAGCAAAGAGACCTCTCTTGCAGAGAGAGGGGGAATCCAGCTCTCACCTCAGAGATCTTCTGAACTGATAATGAAGAGAGTTTTACCCAGCTTCCAGCAGCCTCACCATTCTACCTCGCCAGCTTCCTGAACCCAAAAGTGCGCTATTTCAAAGGTGCACAAAATAAGCACACTGGTTGTTTTGACCCCACGCAGAAGATCAGTGTCTGCAGCTCTTCATTAAACCTGGCACTCAAACTGGAAGGGATCTCGAGAGGTCATCAAGTCCAGTCCCCTGCAGGACCAAACACCGTCTAGATCAGGGCTATTCAACACACGGCCTACGGGCTGCATGTGGCCCACAGCCTGTTTGTTTGTGGCCCACAGTGAGGTTTGGGTTTCTGCAGAGCCCAACACATGGCCCATGGCTAGGATGCTTTGAACACGGCCTCCATTGGGATCACGCTCCACAACGGCGAGGCATCTCCCAGTCAGGGTGAGCACTGAAAGACCCAAGCAGATGGGCTGACTGGAACAGACGGGTACAGGGTGTCGGCGTTTCTAGCCCCGAGGGAGGTGGTGCCGGGAGAGCCAGGGCATTGTGGGAAGTGCTTTGTATTCATGTCCATCAGTGTGAAAGAAGCTATTTGCATATATATTTGCATGTATATGCAATCACACTTAAGCTGCAGCCCTCGGCATGTGCTGGGAGTATCATTGTGGCCCCCAGGGCTTCCAAAGTTCAGTAGCCCTGGTCTAGATCATCTCTGACAGGTGTCTATCCAAACTGCTCTTAAATATCTCCAGGGATGGAGATTCCACAACCTCCCTAGGCAATTTATTCCAGTGTTTAACCAGCCTGACAGGAACTTTTTCCTAATGTCCAACCTAAACCTCCCTTGCTGCATTTAAGTCCATTGCTTCTTGTCCTATCCTCAGAGGCCAAGAAGAATTTTTCTCCCTCCGCCTAACAACACCCTTTTAGATACTTGAAAACGGCTATGGTGTCCCCTCTCAGTCTTCTCTTTTCCAGACAAAACAAGGCCAATTCTTTCAGTCTTCCCTTGTAGCTCATGTTTACTAGACCTTTAATCATTTTTGTTGCTCTTCTCTGAACCTTCTCCAATTTCTCATGGCTAGCTTCCCTGAAAACTAGCTGGATGGTTCCCGAGGGTTTAAGTGATTTTCTCTTTCCTTAAACCCATGAGCCTATAATAAAATACAAATGTACATTCCTTGAATCTACTAACCTTGGGAAGATACCTTTAAAGTGTGATGGCAAATGCTCTGCTTGTCCCCAGGAGGAGAATGGAGACAGATTTGTGACTTGCAGAGGTCTGGTTCTCTCCTGTCCCCCTGCTGTACTGATGAGAGGTGGGCATCTTGCTGGCCGTTACGTTGTCGGCTGTGACACTGTGCCACCTAGTGCACTCGGCATGTATCCAACAGGACGCTAGGGAGGCACCATTTTTAGGGGTTCTGAGTCAGACACTGAATTTGCTTTCAGCTACCATGTTGCTAGTGGACCAGTTAAATTAAAAGCATCTGGCTAAACAAAGGTTTGATTTTTTTATTTTTTTATTTCCAAACTTAAAGCGTGTATGGACAGCTAGGACGTCGGCTGCAGACTGCCAGGAAGACAGCTACTGTAAAACAACGCTCCTGCTTTTCAGTACATTCAGATTTCCTAAGAAAAACAACGAAGGGAAAGTCCTCCGCTGGACCACAGCAAATCTCAGCAGAGCTAGGGCACCAGCAACGGTGGCAGTAAAAGCCATTTTTCTGCCTCCTCCTCTGATCCAGGGGCCGGACAGGGGTTGAATCACCCATCCACACAAATGAAAGCACGTGCCAGGCACAGGGACAATGGCAGGGACAGAGAGAGAGCTGTGCATTCCAGCCAGACCCTCGTTAGCCTCCAAAACAACCCCTCCAAGCCACATTCCCTGCGACGCAGAGCCAGCTGACACAGAGCCAGCGATCTCAGTTTTAAGAGCTACCCGGGCTAAGTTTTAAGGTCAGTTCTAAAGAGCCTTATAGCACAGTCTAGGCTAACCAACACTGTTCTAATAGCAGAGTATAAACAGCAAGCGAGCACAATGGAAATCTTCCTTCCCTGCGCTAAAAGGGGCTATTTAGAGACAGCACTTGAGTTCTAGCTCGTCAAGAAGGGCCTTTAGTGGTTCTGCAAAATAATCCCACTGTGTCTCTCCAAGGCAGTGGTAGGAACGAGTTTACCTTTCGGAGAGGCTGCAGTTATTAACAACCCAGGCCCGGGTTTTCATTCCCCCTCCCCTCCAAAGAGGGGCTTAAATTTAGGCAACGGAGCCAGGAGGAGCCAAGAGCAACCGGAGTAACCATAAAAATTAACACACAAGGCCTCCAACCCTGCACAAGGTACTGTGCCTTGCCTTTCTCTAGGGGCCTGCTCCAAAAGACAACTGGAATCCTTCCATACACTTCAGTACATTTTGGGTCAGATGCCAAGCACAACAATATTTTGTATTTTCTCGTTCCTGAACCATTCACGAGCTCGAGTGTGTCAACTCCTGTCTCCCTTCAAGCAGCCTGATGTTTCAACCAGACAAAGGAAAAGAAACACCCCCCCCCCATAACTGCTACGAAAATGAGATGCAGCCATCTCAGGCTCTCTGCAGTTATTCAGGCCTGCATACATTATATGAACCAACCCTGAAGGAAAGCAGCACAATGCATTCTAATCTGGAATTATCTCTCTCGCTTTGATGTGAAAACCTCTATGCGCCTCTTCCCAAGCGCTACAGAAAAACCTCTATAATACACAATTCAGCGTTCCCGCTTAAAATATACAGCGGCAATAACCGGCTGGCTTTGTGTCTGCGCTTATCATTACAGAGCACTCCTAGTCTGCGCCACACCTTTGTTTCTTTTTTATTAAAAACTCTCGCCCCGATTCTGCAGAGATTACTGCGCTAGTGCACATCAGGTACTCTCCCTGGGACTCCTGACTACAGGAGTGAATTTCTCCATGCACTCTGGCAGCAGAGAAAAGCCCATTCACCATCATGACAAACAGGAATCCAATAAACTCCGGGGTCTATTTTAACTGTGACTCAGAAACCAGTCAGTGGAGGGAACACTAAATCTCTAGGGCCCTGCGCAGACACAAAATTTCATATCCACATCTGTAGCCGCAAAAATGAGCCGTGCATGATCTGCAGGGCTCTACAAATCTCTTATTTTAAAGCTGGCTGTAAAATCCATCCCTTACCTTCAGCAGTCCTCTTGGGAAATCTTTGCCCTCGTCCATGCCCTGGAGGTTAGCAATGAACTCTTGGCAGGTCATCTTTTTCCCAATGTTCTGGAAGACAGCAACAGATTCGTTACACAAGAAGATGGGTGCTGCTGACCAGCGATGGTGAGACCGAAGTAAACCGAATCTGGGTGGGTGGCACCTCTTTGTGTTAGTTGGAGCCCAAGGCAGGCCTGGTTGGGAGCATTCCCAGAATTATACAGATGTTAGTGCGAGCATGCCTGCATGAACCCCGCTGGAAAACACACAGGAAAGGTGCATTCATAGCCCAGGCTGCCATTCAAACAATAGATGTTCAATAGCACCTCACCAAAAGTCCTATCATGGGGATGGAGGGGGTGGTGATGGTTTCCTAGCGTTTGCACTGTGCTTTTCATCCACTGCTGTCCAAGCATTTAACAAAAAGCAGGGCTGTGCGCGTAGAACTTTAAAGTCGGACTTCCCAGAAAGCGGGAGCCACATGGCCAAAGCGGCAGCCCGAAAGCCAGCAAGCTGGGAAGAATTTAAAAACAAACAAACAAACCAACAAAGCTTGTACTGGCAACTAAAGCTCTGAATGAAACCCAGCATCGGTAACCCTCGCTTTTGGGGATTCCCTGAGGTTGGGGCTGCACTTGCATGTCTAAACCAAAGGGCCTCTTTGGGTTTATTGTCTCCCATGCACTTGGAGGATCAGTCTGGCTGTGAGCAGCACTGCAAAGCTGTTGCACTCTGCTAGGACTTCTGCAGGTGTGTCCTATGGCTCTCAGGGCTGCAGCAAGCGAAGCTGATCTGTGATTCTTTCCCCCCGAGCTGTGGGAGAGCATGTCTGTCCGTCCAGGCACACGGGGGAATCATAGGAAGACAGTGGATCTCTCACTGTCAAGTAGAGAGGTTACTAGCCTGTGTTAAAGCAGCTCTAGCCTATATCCCAGATGAGCCAGCCTGGACAAAACTCTGAGGAGGGCTGCAGGTGTAGACAGGAGCTAGCAAAGGGACAACACGTAAGGCAGAGCCCAGGTTAACTCTGCCGTAAAGACAGACCCTGACAGAGCGAAGGAGCTCCATCTATCACAGAAGTTGCAGGCTTTTAGGACTACAGCATCCCATGAGCTCTGTGCCTGCAACTGCTCACCAGCGCACACATACTTGAATGCTGCGTACAGATGCAGTCGCCTCATCTCCAAAAAGTTATCTTGGATTGGAAAAGGTTCAGAAAAGGGCAACAAAAATGATAAGGGGTTTGAAAGGAGTCCCATATGAAGAGAGATTAAAAAAGACTGGGACTTTTCAGCTTGGAAAAGAGGAGACTGAGGGGGGATAGGATAGAGGTCTATAAAATCATCACTGGTGTGGAAAAAGTGAATAAGGAAAAGTTATTTTCCCGTTCCCATAATATAAGAACGAGGGGGGTTACCAAATGAAATGAAGAGGTAGCAGCTTTAAAACAAACAAAAGGAAGTTTTTCTTCACGTAGCGCACAGTCAACTTGTGGAACTCCTTGCCAGAGGATGTTGTGAAGACTAGGGCTTTAACAGGGTTCAAAAAAGATCTAGATTCATAGAGGTTAGGTCCATCAGTGGCTATTAGCTAGGCTGGGCAGGAATGGTGTCCCTTGCCTTTGTTTGTCAGAGGCTGAAAATGGGTGACAGAAGAGAGATCACTGGATGATTCCCTGTTCTGTTCACTCCCTCGGGGGGCACCTGTCATTGGCCGCTGTTGGCAGAGAGGACACTGGGCTAGAAAGGCCTTTGGTCTGACCCAGCCTGGCCATTCTTGTGTACACAGGTAGGGAGGGGAGAGGAGCGGATTGAGCCATGATCCTACCCCCACCACGTCAGCCAGCCACCCTAGCCTGGCCCTCACGCCTGCTTTTATTAAGCTTCAGAGCCCTGGTCTGAACAGGGATGGTTTTAATTTCAGATGTAGGCTTTTGCTGCCAGTCAGGCCCTAGAATTCAACAATTCATTTCCCCACCTGAAGCGGGTTGCTGCCCACATTTACAGGGGCTCTCTGGTTTGCTCTTTCCCAGCAGACGGCAACTGAAGTGGCTTACTCCAGTACACGGAAAGAGTCTGATCTAGAGCAAGACAGGGAGGAATTAAGGGTGGTCCATTAGCTCCATTCATTCACGTCGCTAGGAAGCGTCACTGCACAGAGGAGCCATGCCAAGAGGTTGGAGCATTAGCCTATCGTCCGAAAACAGGTGGTTTCAATATGTGCAAAAGAGACTGCATTCAAACACACAACTTACCACCTATAAGGGAAACCCAAAAGAAAGAAGGAAAAAAAAAAAAGATGACAGGCGATCCAAGGAAGAGAAGACAAGAGAAACGCATGCCAGGGTCTCTCACTGAGCTGCATTCTCCACGTGTAAGACAGCGTGGTAATCTCCACCAATGGCAGAAACCTGCAGTCTTACACCGAACAGACTCCTCTGAGCCTCGGCAGTGGTGTCAAGGTAGGCAGAGTCTCCAGCTAAACAGCACACTAAGCAAAGGAACCATCTGACGGTGCACACTCTAGGGCAGATTCCTGTACCTTGATCTTCCCTTATAACAAGCACGGCCTCATTCCTTGACATGTGCCACCAGCTCCAATGGGACTCCCTGAGGATACTGTGCTCAGCAGGAGAGATTGGGGCCCTTGGAGAGCAGAGTTTGCTTGAAACTTCTGTTCCCTCATAAAGCTGGTGGGCTGAGATCTGCAAAGCCACTTAGGGGCTCTGGACTCTCTATTCAAATTACTGGGATGTGGAAGACCCTTAGAAAGCTGTGAGAGTCTTAGCTGAAATGTGTACACACTGCTTGGAGAGACACTGAAATCTCTAGAAGAGGTGACCTCCTTCTCCTAGCAGCCACCCAAAGGCTCCCAAAAGTTGGGAGAACAGGTCTGCCTCGTTTTAGTCATCCCCTGCCCACTAAGAACCCATTTTTTGTCAGCCCATGGGTGCTTTAAAGCAACCCTCCTTGCACCGCAAATTCATGTTCTGAAATACAAATTCAACAGCAGCATCACATCAGTTCAGGCTGGTACACCTCCCACCTCAGCCCCCCAGCGCAACCTCACATCCCATCGCTCTCCTCCCCCGGGATGGCAATACCAGCAGCTAAGGTACCTCCTGGCGTTAATTTTCACGTGCTGGGCAGAGGCTGCCTGGCCTGTCTGCTAGCACAAGGGTAACGCACGCAAAGGCCTGTCCTGTTCTGCCACCTGGCGGCCACGAGCAGAATGGCAGTGAACCAAAAGGGGCTAGAAATCGTGGTTCGATTCTCCCAGGCTCTCCCACGGTGCTAAGGAGTCTCACCCTTCCTTGCACAAGGGCTTGTCAGAATTGTTCCTGTCCCGAAGGGGCAGAAGACAGCACCCACTGCCCCAGAAGGCAAGGAGGAGGCATGGTCACAGATGGAGCCCCCCAAACAGAGTTATGCTGCACCCGCGTACAGGGCCTGCTAACGGCATCCCAGGACTTGGGCAGGCATGGACGTCCATGTGCCTTGTGCAGCGAGCGGTGTGGCCAGTCGCAGTCCAGCCCCCACAGAGGAGCTCCATGCACCAGGAGCCCGAGAGGACTGGTCGGCCAGCAACCAGCATCACAACTTCGACAGGCCCCCTGAAAACAGGGGTGGGGCAAGTCGCCACGAACCCGCACTCACATGGCCATGCAGATCAGTGTTCAGCAGCATCACCGCACATGTGAGACAGTGGACTCCATCTGGGGAAAGAAGGAGAAAAAATATCACACACAAGTAGGGTAGCCAGGCAGCAAAAGGGAAAAATTAGGGCACTTTTTCTCCTCGGGATGAGGGGCTCTCATTGCCGATACAAGACAAAACCTGATGGTCTCCCTCCGCCCTCCTCCCCTAACCCGAAAGGGAATTTGCTCATGAAGAAACACAGAAAAAAGCAGGGAAATGAATCCAAAGTGATTTCACAGATGTCCATTCGTCTCCTCCTCTCTTCCAGCTTTTATCCCCTGACAAAACAGTCTGGCCGCATCGACTGATACACAGAGTCGCTACAAAACCACACGCGCTGGCTACCTCGCGGGTATCAGTCCGCCAGATGGAATCAGTTCTTTCTTTTTTCGGCTTGCTAGGGCCAGCACAGAAAGAATAAAACTCCCCGCCTCCTTGCCTGGGGCTCTCCTGACCTTCCAGACAGGGGACGTGACAGCCTCTCTCCGTCAGTATGTCTGGTCTTCCAGAAACGCAGTCCTGAGCGACAGGGTCTCATACGATTTCCCCACACACACCCCGACTCCGGCCCTGTTTGTCTTAGACCCCGCACGAGGCAGGGCCAGTAGGGTGAAGGAAACCGCTGCTTGAAGGACCCATCTCACGGGCGGCGGCAGCTGCATGTGGCAAAGGTGCCTATTCTGTGGATCCTCCAGGGCTGGAAGACCCACAGAAAATAATGAGAGGGTGCTTAGCACCCTCTGGCAGCTAGCTGCTCCTTTGCCGCCAGAGCCTCCTACTGCTAGTGGCACTGCTGATCAATGCCTCCCACCAGTCCTGCAATCAACCCCTTCCCCTCCCCTCCCGCCCGCTGAGATCAGCTGGTCCCCGGCACACTGGAGAGGAGGGGGAAGAGTGGGGAGGGGGCAGCCTGAGGGGAGGAGGCAGAACTGGGAGGGAAGTAGGGATGTAAAAACCACCACGAATAGTTAACCAGTTAAGCGATTTGCTTAACTAGTTAACCACGGGGGCTGCGCTGAAGGGGCCCCCCTTCCCCTCCCCTCCCGCCCGCTGAGATCAGCTGGTCCCCGGCACACTGGAGAGGAGGGGGAAGAGTGGGGAGGGGGCAGCCTGAGGGGAGGAGGCAGAACTGGGAGGGAAGTAGGGATGTAAAAACCACCACGAATAGTTAACCAGTTAAGCGATTTGCTTAACTAGTTAACCACGGGGGCTGCGCTGAAGGGGCCTGCCGTGGCTGGTCCCGCTGGCTGGGGCCCCCCGGGAGGC